ACAAGGCGCCGCGGGTTTTCATGTCACAGCATGCGTTTTGGAGCACTGAAGCGGGCAGGGCCCAGCGAGCGCCCGAGCACACCGGGCAAGCGCACACCGGGCAAGAGCCGGCTCAGCTCCCTGTCAGCAGGAGGCGTGCTGCTCCATGCAATCATGAGGGGTCCCTACCATGATACCCAAATGTGTTTTTTGTTGCTCGGAATTTCATGTGGCTCCACTCAACCCAGGCAAGCAAACGTAGCAGCTTTGCCTTTCTCCAAACAGTTCGTGCGAGATGTTGGGATTGCAAAGGGCACTTGAAATGATAACCCGACAACTTGTGGCTGGACACACCTTGGTGCCAAATCGCCAGCCAGGTTTGCAGGTTTGCTGAAGAAATCCAGTAGTCCAGTAGTCTTTGATCAATTTGGGAGAGACACAGGGGACTTGTTCTATTCCATGCACTACACCGGGGGAGCTCACCTGTTTCACGCCCATTTCACGGGCGGTGGCCTACGCTGGCCGCTTTTGAGCCCTCTCAACATTTCCAGAGCTTCGGTCAAAATATCCCTCGAGCGTATTGCCAATTCGGGAGGGCCCTTGGGGTCACTGATTTTACCCATGTCCACGAGGGTAACTTTGAGGAACGCCAAAGAGACTACAGTTGTTGGGTCTCCACGGTCTCCCGAATAGGACAAACCCATTTGTTCGCGAAGCGTAGGACTGACACCAAGCTCCAGGGGCCTCTCGCGCGGTGGGCAGAGCCCATGCATGCTGAATCGCCTACCAGCGGCACCTTGATTCGCATGCGATTGGCCAATCGGGTCGGGTGCTTCTTCAAGATGTGGGTTTGTGTTATTTGAGGGTACCCTTTTGTAGGTTGGATTGAAAGGAAACCAACAAGAAAACCACAATTTTAGGGGACACCCTAATTTTGACGCATACTCATGCGAGCAAGGATCCATATTTACCGCCCTACGGAAAGGTGGATCACATGGGGCACACAAGCCCCAAATGTTCAATAGAAAATGAGGGTAACTCATCAAATTCTGATGTCAATTGGGGACACAAGGAATATTGACCGTGGCTGCGCTTGGGAGCACCCGGCGGATTTTCTTCCAAGTTTGTGAGCCTGACACGAAAGCAGTTGTCATTTTCGTATTGATCCAAAAGTGTCCAAACCCCCGGACGTTTTGCTTCTTCTTTCTGCCCAGTCGGCAACCTGACAAGCCCTTTGTGCGCAGAAGAATAGGGCACAGTGGCCATGGGGAAGAATGGAGTCACGGAGAGAGCAGCATTGTGCAAGCCACATGACGACGCACACAACCAAAGAATTGTCAGCCATTTAGACGCTTTTAACAGAATCATTCTTGGTGACCATGCGCTTAGCATGCAAATGCCAAAGGAAGTTGTTGTGTGAGCTCCCTGAGTTCTCGCCGGACGGGCGGCCCATCGCGGTCTTCGGGCGGACGGCAGAGGAGGGGAATGATCGGGACCTCAAGTGTTGACGACCTCACCTGAGACAGTGACCCTGACCATCAAAGTCCATTGGGATTGTTCGAGCTTCAGAATTACTGGAGGCCATGTTACAAATGCATAGACAATTGACTGACCACAGAAGGTGTTCGTGCTGTTGAACCCTCGACATGATTTTGCACGCAGCGTTTGGATGTCTCAATTTGTTGATCTCGGGGCTTTGCCAATCAATAGTGACAGGAGAAGGTCGCGGAATCCCGAACCCAGCCCCCCTCAAGGCAGTTGAGCCCATACCCTGTGTGACCTTGAAACCTTATTTCTTGAAACAAGGATATGTAAAGAAGTCGTTGGTTGGGTGGCCCAGTTTTTGCGGAATGTTAGTGGGCAAGTTTGCTGGAGCTGTTAAAGGGGAAGGAAGCAAACAGCCTGTTCTTTTTGGCAAGGGGGGTGGCAGGGGGGAATCTTTCATCGGGGGGGTGCTGGGGATCATTGAGGAGAGTTTTTGCGGGAAACCTTGTTGGTCCTTGAGTTTAGTATTGGTGGGAACCTGGGGGAAAAAAGGGGAAATCTTAAATGGGGAGTTTAGTAATCGTTCCCTGACATTACGCCCAGAAAGTCCAAGTACTTCCCCAGCATGTACCCTAACCCCTCCAGCCTTTCAAAAGGAGTGGCGTCCTTTTGAGTTCCGTTTGGTTTCCCTTTTGGTTTCCCTTTTGGTTTCCCTGAGAAGGGGGTTCAGCCTGAAGACACACCCAAACCATCCAGCGCTTCAGTTCGAGTCGAAACTGTCGATCTGGAGGGCTTCGTGATGCTGCCGTTTCCGGCACCCTTGTCCGCTCTGGGGGTCTGAGGCGGGCCGGGGCAGAGGGTGGGTTCGTTGGACATTTGGCGAGTCAGAGCCTCAAAAATGGAATCATTGGGCTATGCAGGCAATGAAGCATTTCAGATGGAGTTTGTTTAGGTTGGCCCATTTGAGTTTAGACGGCACGTGAAAAGTGGTTGGTGGACATGTATCCTCACCTTGATGGCCTAGGGATCCCCATTTTACACTCATTTGTGCAGCGTCTTTTTCGGTTTTTACGCAGTCCTTGTTGTTGAAATGTTCTTCTTGCGGAACGCGAGTGGGACAGCAGACGCGGAAGGTTAGCAGAAGCTTCGCGGACGGTTCACCTCGCGGACTCTTTGCGGAAGGATTGTGTTTTGTTCGCGTGGGCCGAAATCCTCAGAAATGCCTCGGAAGGTTTGCAGAGGTTTGCCCAAAAGTAAAGGGGTAGCCCAAGTTCTGTCAAAGCCTCTGGGAATTTGCTGAAAGAACAATCGGAGCCACGGCGCCGCTGGATTGTCAGTCCCGCAGGTAGCTGTAGCCACCTGCGTGTCCGAACGGCTCCCCTTGCAGAAACTTGCACGATCCTTGGAGCATCACAAAGCCTCAACCAAGAAAACTGGTGGCCGTGAAAGCAAAAACAAGCAAAGCATGACGTTTACGTCCGCGGCAGCTCACAACACGGAAGCGTGGCGGAGATGACAGAAGAAGCAATGTTGTATGAATGAGCAGAGCATGGAAAAACAAAGCTCACTTGGAGGCTGTGAGAAAATGAAGGTGACACGTGATTTTGCCGAATTGCGGTCGACAAGTATCACAGTCTTGCTTGACATGAGCGTGTCTCAGGGCATTTTAACTCATGTGTTGCGTTTATTTTTCGTTTGTGGTTTGCTCTGAAGGTCTCCGGCCACAACTGCTTGAAAAACAGCAAACTAATTACTACTAACCTTGTGCGTTGCTCTATGGTCGAGAAGGCAGAAAGGGAGAATGAACCGGCCTGCCGCCAACACCAAGGTTGGCGTTTGGGTCCCATCTGTCTCTCAGCCGAGAGGAACAAACAGAAGCATCCCGTGCTCCAAGCAGAATATCAACATCGGATGAGTCTGGAAAACCATACTTCTGACAAGGTGACTCAACTGAGCATAAAGCCTATCAGACTTCGAACAATCCAGGGAGTTTTGCTTGCGAATCCTTGCAATTGCCCTTGCCATCGGCGACCTTACCAGATGAGCTCTTGCTGCTTAAATTGTGTCCGTGGACGTTTTGTTGACGTAGCTCAGCTGTCTCCCTGAGATTGTGCCTGTTGCGACTGAGGGATCTCAGGGGGCAAGCCACAAGATGGACGACAGGTACTGCACTCCAAACTTGCCCCAGCAGATCACATATTACACATTGCCACATATCCGATTTCCCGCCGCTGCACTGGGCGCTTTTTTCCAGGCTCCACCTCTTGCTGTGCTGAAATGGGGCACAGTGACCCTTCAACATGGAGGGTCTAGGTGAGCGTCGTGTGGGGCTTGCGAAAAACAGGCGCAGCTTGTAGATGCGGCGCGTTCCCACTCAATTGACCTCGCGTACAACATTTCAACTCTTGTGACTTTGGATGTGTATGTGACGTATGTGTGTGTGTGTGTTTGGATGTGTTTGGGGACATATTCCGGCAAGTGGCTTTACGAATTGGACATTGCAATCTGTAGCCTTCTCAGGCAACCCATGAGCTGCCATCAAACATGTTTGTCGTTTGGCGTTAGTAGATAATCAAATACATGCTGTTTGCGTTACATGGCATTGTGGATGAGCAAGTCCTGCGTACGGCAAACACAAATTGCGGAATATGCGTATCTATGCACGTCATACGTACACCGTTGTTGGTGCAAGGGCTAGGACTAGTCAGACCATGCTGCTATGCTAGCCTTTTCTGACGGAATGGCTCCAATGGAAAGTTTGAGGTTCACGGCTTGAGGCTTCTTGGTTCTAGAGAGATGGCCATCAACCCTTTAATAGGTAGTCGTGAATAATACTATCAAAACCATGACCACGTGCTTGCAACACCATGTTGCTTGGTGTTTGGGGGTTGTTGGACGAGTCAGCAGTTTTGCGCTCCTGTATTGCCAAGTTCAAACATGTCTCGCGAAGGCAGACAGTATCAACAAAAACAGGAGCAGACGGACTGTCAATGGGGCCATTATTGAATACTGAATTTCTGCTTGCAGGCACCGAACCATTTTGGCCATCATATTGTTCTAACACCAGGTACTTGAAGTGCGTGCTCCGAAGCATTGATCAGCTTGTGGGTGAAAGGTATGGTCCAGTTTGGATACGGGTGCTCCTTTGCGTGCAGGCAACTGTTTCGCAGCTCCTGCAAATGGGTGTTTGTGTCTTTTTTCAGGGACCCCCCCCCCAAAAAAAAACAAACAAACAAAAGGTCCTTTCACCCTCAAATACAGACACACCCCAATCATGTTTGAATCCCTATGTTCTTTATGGTCAGCCGAACCGATGCCTTGACTGCGGAACCTGGCATGTCAGTCGGCTTGTCTTGGCCTTGGGCTCAAGTTGGGCGGTTGCAGAAACTCGCGTTCGAGCTGACATGCTTTCGACTAACAGCTTTTGCAACCATCTACTTCTGGTCACGAAAGATTTCATGAGATAGGCCAAGTCCATTCTCGGTGGCACACCGACACCAAGCCCGACAGTAGAATCTGCTGTCCTCTTCTTCGCAGCGCCTTGGCAAGATTCAAAGCTTGCGTTGAGGCCAGGGTGAAGCGCTTTGGCAAGCTTTCTGCTAGTTTGACGCTGTTTGCGTGACCTCGAGTGCGGATGATAACCATATTACTTGAAACAGACAAATTGCGTCGGCACAGCGCAAAGGAAGACTCCCTCAGCATGGGAGGATGTGCAGCAATCTAGCCGCCTTCGCGGAAGTTTGCGATGGCAAGCACCATCAGAATGACTGGAGGAAACACCATGAATTCTAGAGTCCTGCTTGAACTAGGGCCCCAAGTTGTGCGTTGGTCTGCCATACTGATTCCCGACAGTTGTCAGCTGCGCTTCACGTACAAATGGCCAATGTGATCACACAGCCAACTTACACTACCCGAATCGCAAAGACCCAGACCTGCGCAGACTGGAACAGGCGGAAGATGATGACTTTTGTGAAATCAGCCACGTATGATTCCTTCTACTTGTGTTTGAAGTGCGCAGAGACACAATGTCACATCACGGGTTGACACCCAGACTGAAGCTGGTTCAGAAACTTGGGGATGTTTTTCAGCTGTACATACCTAGACATGTCTCAGGCGTGACTATGCCATTCCTATTGGTACCGTCCATCTCCGAATGTGTAATGCACACATATGACACACATATCATATGATACATATATATATATATATTTCTACATATTATGTATGGTGTCATGTATGGGTCAGACTATCCTCAACTATCACGTGGATGCGATGCGCTGTCTTTGCCAGATATATCGGGACCGTGTGACCTGGATCACATCCACGCATCCAATACACATGTCACCTCAAGCCGCCAAACATGTGATGAGTCATCAGGATGTGTCCTGAAGGCCGTGGCTGCAGGGTGCGGTTTGAGGAAGTGTCTGCATTTGAACACAAGATTACGCGAAAGACTGCTCGTTGCTTCCGGCTTTTTGAGCACAGACCACCACAATTGGGAGGTTGCAGTGTTCTTCTCAGGGTCCTTCTTTTTTGAGGGTCCTGTTTTTTTTGGAGGGGGGGGGGGTTTTAAAGTTAGTGGAGGCCTCTCCCGTCCGCATTTTGCCATCCGGTCCTAGGGTCCCCCCCACGCTTTTGGGCACATTCTGAATACGCCCACTAAAACAACCTATTTTCAACATTCAAATTCAATCACCCAACCAATCCAACACCAAAAAACACATATTCATATACCCCTCTTCATTTCTTACCCCATCTCAACATCACCCTTACACTCATTCAATAACAACAATCATAACTACATACCACCTCAACAAATCCCACCAAAAAAATCCAAGCTACATACCAACATTTTTTCATTCCCAAGATCGCAACCCCAAGATCTCAATAATTTCTCCCTTGATCCAACCTGAGACCCTTTCCCATTTCCAACAAATACGAACAGTCTAAAAAAGAACGCTATGTTCGTCCCGAAAAGTGGTTAACCAATGGAAAAGGGAGAATTAAAACCGTTAACCCAAATCTTGAAAATAATCCAGTAAAATATGGATGGCAAAATGCGGATGGGAAAGGCCTATATAGGAAAGCACCCCCACGGCTTATACATGAAAATTACACTATAATTATAACATATAAATGTTTACATGTTATAATTATATTATGAGTTCAACTCTATTTCTAATTAATTTTAAAATTCTGTTATAATTCTTTTTATTATTTTATCAGTCGTTTTTTCATTATATATATTATTTCCTATTTCCTTTTTAAACCAGCCCATTGTTCTAATTGCACTTATTACCGTATATCTAAGTTCGTGAGCTTTATACTCACAACTTATAAAATCAAAGTCATTATCATTCATTGCTTCTTTCATTAAACGCCTAGTATTATAAGACATACCATATAATCTTTTTACCAGATTATAATACTTATAAATAAAATCATTATCATTTCCTTCATCATCGCCCTTATATAATAAATTTCCAAACTCTTCTTCAGTCAAGAACTTATTCATTTTAATAAACACAAATATTTCTAAATCTTCATCAAGATTTTTAACATTTCTAGAATTAATATATTTGCTATTCATATCATCAATTTCGTTTATAATTTTATTGCAATTATCACATATCATACATTGGCAAATATTATCACAAACACCATTCAAAAAACCTTGTTTAATTGGTAATTTTAGCATCTCACAGTCTCTACATTTATAACTCATAAACTTTTCTCTGAATATATGTTTAGCATCAATATCTTCACGGACTGTATCACTATATTTGCTATATTCGCTATCTGTATCACTATATTGACTATTTTCACTTTCTGTATCACTTTCTGTATCGCTCATTGTCCTAATATACATATATAGGTAATATGTCTTTAAGTACATTTTCAGAGAAATTATAATTTATAGAAATATTTGTACCACTATAATTACAACATATAAGATCTTACATGTTGTAAGTATAGCAAAACTATGGTATCAAAGGCTTTAATCTATGTATTTCCAGGGGTTGTATTCGTTTCTTCTGTTCCTTCCTTAACTCTTTTGTTGCTTTTACTTTGTCTCTGCATTCCTTACATGTTTTGTAAAATATATCTTCCATTTTAATTCTATCATACATTTTGTGAAAATCCTTTCTTGGCTTTGCTTCGTCGCATTTACTGCAATGATAAACCATTGCGCATCCTGTTTCTTCTTCGTCATCTGTAGAACTCATAATATTAGTTATACCAATATGTCTTTAAACGGATTTTCAGAGAAAAATGTTTTCAATCAAGAATAAATCCCTGTATCTTCATCATAGTCAATTTGATAAAATGTCATAGTTGAAGCCTTCGGTTCTTTAATTTCTTTGTTATTAAGTTTGTTTAAATAAATGTTTCTTTTATTTTTATATTCACCATTGGTTCGATCTACTTCCTTACTTTGATAATTGTTTGTTAATGGTTTCTTCTTTTCCATTTCGTGTAAGATTTCTAAAATATGTTTATTCTGTTCCAAAACCTTATTCAGTTTTTTAACAATCTTTTCTAATCCTTCAACCATGTAAATATATATATTATATTATAAAATAAAACTTTTAAAACTAAACTTTTTATTTTACAAAATCATATATCATTATAAGTCAATTCAAAATTAGTTATTGTATAACTAGTTAAATGATTATTCAATTTACCAATTAAATTACAAATAATAGTTTTTCTAAATTTTGAATATTTATGAAACTTTTCAATATTATCTGTAATATAAATTATTAAACATTTAATACATTCAAAAACACTAACAACATTAATATTACTATTCTTGTAAATATTATTCATTTTTCTCAATGTAATTTCATAAAACTGAATAGCATTCTTATTATCATAATTAGCAATAAATCTTAAAGTATATGAATATACTCTTTTACAATAGAATTTTAAATCTGATTGTTCAAATAAATCAGCATAATTAATAGAATTATAAAACATGTTAAAATCAATTTTGCTATTTCTAAAGTCATTAACAAAATTAATTAATATATCATTTTCGTTATATTCTTCAATAAAATTATTCAATTTCAATTCTTTTACATCAATGAATTTAATAATATTATTTATAACATCTTGCATTATAAATAATAATAGAAATAATTTTAACTACTATTTTTTCATCATTTCGCGTATAGTTTCCTGAGTTTCCTTATCACCATTATCGGATGGCGATGCATGCCTTCCCCATTTGATAGCAATATTATGAACATCTGTTTCTAAGTTTATACTGTCTTTAGTTTTATCAATATTAATTTTCTTATCATTCTTACTTAGTTTGAAACTGGCTGGAATACAACTGCATTTGCAGTTCCCTTTCTTTGATATTTCTAATTCGTTCTTCATCTCTAACATCTTCTTACACATAGGACAAGCAAACTCAACAACTGCTGTTTTATTAATAACTTCTTCACTGTCGTCGTCTGCTGATGAAATTGTTGTTTCTGTTTTATTCTTTTTGTTTTTCTTTCTTCCCATTTATATTAATATTTACATTTTTATTTTTGATATATTGTATCACAAACTTAATTAATTCTAAAACAAAATAACATATTTTTTTAAATCTATTATCAGTTATAACAACTTGTTCTATATTCTCTACTTCATCTATTATATCAATATAATCTGAATAGCTTCTATTCATATAAAATAATAAATATAAAATATTTTCTAAATAACTTTAATATTATTTTATTATGTCAGATGTTCCAATAATAAAGCCAATAAACATAACTGAATATGAATTCAAACAATCTAAATATGAGCACGTGCCAAAATTACCATTTAGAAGTATTATAGTTGCTTCTTCGACAGGTGGCAAAACAGTATTGGTTCAGAACCTTATCTTAAATGTTTATAGAAATTCATTTGCAAGAATATTTATATTTTCCCCCAGCGTTCATAATGACCCAACTTTTACAGAAGTAAAGAAATATATTAGGGATGAACTACATGTGGATGATGAAAAAGAACAAATTTATTTTGATAATTATAATCCAAGTGATTTAGAAAATGTAATTGAAAGACAGAAGAAAATAATTAATTATATGAAATCTAAAAAGATAAAGAAACTACATTCAATATTAATCGTTATAGACGATCACGCCGACGATCCTAAATTTGTTAGATATAGTAAATTATTACATGGATTATTTACAAGAGGTAGGCACGATGCAGTAAGCGTAATTTGTTCAACACAGAAATATAATGTGTTGGCGCCTATCATTCGTTTAAATGCCAGTTCATTATATATTTTTAGGTTGAAAAATGCCAGTGAATTAATGAGTTTTATTGAAGAAAATAGCGCCATTGTTGACAAACAGCAATTATTAGATATGTATCATCAAGCCGTTAATTTTGCTCCATATTCTTTTTTCTACGTGAATATGAATTCAAAAGACATTAACAACATGTTTCATATCAATTTTGAACAGGCATTTCAAATTACAAATGATGAATAAAGATATTCTAATTTAATATAATATAATAATATGGT